TTTTTTTTCTAAATTTTAATAAAAAATGTGTTTTTTCAAAACGTTAAATGTGGTTACAGCACAGTCGTTCAGTGTTTTACATACATATTTAGCCATTTAATATGTTATAAAGACTGGTAACATACCATTTAAAAACACTGGTCCTACTTAAGACAGGCTATATGTAATGAAAATATTTTTTTCTAAGTTAGAACTTCTAACTTCATACTTTTTATTTACTCACACTGACTGTTCTAAAAAAAAATTTTTTTTGAGTGCAATAAGAAAAGCCTAGTATTTTGAATTTTATTTTGATGTTATTCTAAGATTTTCTATTAAAATAAAGTCAGTAATGACATTTTTTGCCTTCTCTTTTTGTCTGAAAAACTATCCAAAAGTATCGAAAGTATCGAAATACATTTTGGTACCGGTACCGGTACCAAAATGTTGGTATCGTGACAACACTAAACTACCATTTTTATGCTCATCAAGCTACGCCCAGTAAGACATAACAACAACATGAACGTTTATTTATTTATTTTTGGAAGTTTTTGTACATTAAATCATAAATCTCTCATTTACAAAAGGATTCATAGCCTTTGCTGTGTGGCACTGCACGTTGTGGTCAGGGGGATCTTGTTTGCTTTAATAACAATTAATTTTAATAATCAAACTGAATTAGCTGGATATAAGTTTAGAAAGGCACATGCTCTTGTGTGTGTAAAAGGTCCCACAACTCACAAATTCAAGACAAAACCCAAGCCACAAAGTCCTAGGAACTCTCTACGACCTCCGTCAGAGCAAGAGACCGTTGAGTTTTTCCCGGAAGCACAGTGGCTTCAACAGCTGTGAAATGGAAGAAGTTTGCAACCACCAGGACTCTTGACAAGAGTTGCCCATATGATCAGATTGGGAAAGAAGGGCCTTGGTCAGGGAAGTGTCAAAGAACCCAACTGTCATACTATTAGGATTTCAGAAGTCCTCTGTAGAGATGGGAGATCATGCCTCAATAGCTCTCCATCAATCAGAACTTTATGATAGGGTGCCTATACAGTAAATGAAATTTACTCTGAGTAAAGCCATATGACAGCCCGATTGGAGTTCCCTACATGAAAAAAGTCTGGTATGACGAGCCAAAAAATGAATCTGTAAGACTCCAAGCAACAGAGTGAACACCAGGCACCGCTCACCCCTGGTACCATCCCCACAATGAGGATGGGTGGTGGCAGCGTCATGATATGGGGTGCAATGCAGCTGCAGGGACAGGGGGACAGGGGGACAGAAGTGAGGGACTCCCCGTAAGGATGGGATCAGATGCCAAAGTACTGAATTAATATGAATGAATCTTAATACCTCTGGAAATGAGAGATTTCAGTTTTGGATATTTAATAAACTAGCAGTCCTTTTTAAAACAGTGTCTTCAGTGTCATTAGGGGTTATTGAATGTAGACTGATCAAACTTACTGAATGTAGACTGATCAAACTTACTGAATGTAGACTGATCAAACTTATTGAATGTAGACTGATCAAACTTA